AAAGGCCAAACACATATACAGCCCCTCTAACTTGTCCACATTTTTCATTTTGGCACTTTATCTTAGCCTTGTTCCATTTTAACCCTTGAACTCCATTTTTTCTGTTCCATTTTAACACGAAATACTATTTTTATGATTTTTTTATTTTTATATATATTCTTCAATTGCAACTTCTTATTTTAAATCGACACGTGTCAGTTAATTTTAGTTTAAAAAAAATAAAAATTAACAAAAACTAATTCTTTTAAAAAAATAATAATTTCTTTTTAAGATTTTTTTGTATTTTTATGTGAAAAATAACCGACGAAATTGTGTTGGTTTTCTTTCTTAAAAATCACCGACAATCTAATAAATTAAAGTCAGTCGAGTTTTAACATTTTTTAGTAGTGTTATTAGCAATGAACAAGAGTCTTTTTTACTCGTATTGAAGATGAGTTTTTTTATTCGTATTGATTTATATTAAAAATAAAAAGTGAGTATTTGCGTTAAATTTAGATAGCCTAGATGATAAGAAATAATAAATAAGTAGTGTTATTTAATTTAATTGAATGTTTAAGAAAGAAAATCAAAGAACTTTAGTCAATTTACTTTCATGCAAAAATACAGGGAAATCTCAAAAAATAATATTATTTTTTGTAAATTTTTATGTTCGTTCGCGAATGTTTAATTTTTTTACGAAAATTAACAGACACACGTCTATTTTTTTAAAATAAAAAATTGCAATTGAAGAACATAAATAAAAAAAAATCATAAAAATTGGTATTAGTGTTTAAATGATACAGAAAAAATAGAGTTTAAGAGTTAAAATGAAACAAGGCTAAATTGGAGTGTCAAAATGAAAAATGAGGGCAAGTTTGAGAGGTTGTGTATGTGTTTGGCCTTTTCTAAATAAGTAAGTACACATGGAATCTATGTTTTCTAAGGAAATTTCTAAATTTGTTATTCAAAGTAGAATCATATTTAAATTTCAAACGGAAAAAGGAAGAAAATAATATATAGTATGTGCATTTATAAGAAAAAGGGAACAAAAACAGAGAGAAAGGAATTGTTCTCTTGCTTTACCAGTTTACCTTGGATCCTCTCTCCCTAAACCCTAACCTTAACAAAATTCCTCGTCAGAAATGGCATCAATGCATTTCACTCTCTTCACAATCTTCCTTCTTTCATCATCATCAGCTTCACCTTTCTCCATTTCTGTAAACAACAAATTTGCTTCTTTTTCATCATCTTCAATTTATGATGTTCTCAACTCCCATGGACTCCCTGTTGGTCTTCTACCTAAAGGAATTAACAATTTTTCAATAGATCCATCATCAGGTCGATTTGAGGTACATCTGCCGCAGTCCTGTGCTGCCAAATTCGAAACCCATTTACGTTATGATAGTACCGTGTCGGGTATCCTAAATTATGGTCAGATTTCAGAAATTTCTGGTGTAGCGGCTGAGGAACTCTTTCTTTGGTTCTCTGTTAAAGGGATCCGTGTTGATATTCCTAGTTCTGGGTTGATTTATTTTGATGTGGGAGTTGTTTCTAAGCAGTTTTCGCTTTCTTTTTTCGAGATTCCACGTGATTGCACCATTACAAATGATGGGTTGCCGGAAGATCTCATTTTGTTCGATAATCGTGGGAGAATTGTGGAGGTTTGATACCATTTCTAATCATTTATTTCGTATTTGTGCTTGCTGAATCTTAAATTCCCCAAAACCTGGATGTTTAATTATTTTGGTAGTATAACTTGTTAATAATTCTTCGCGTTTGAAAAAGACTTGAACGTTGATATATACCATTAGCATTGACAAAAGAATTCATGTGATGTTGCTTTTGCTTTGAGTATTCATGAGCCATTCGAGGTTCTTGTCTTTTCATATTCTTTTTATAGGTCTAAATCCCCCAAATTGCAATTGAATATAGATGCACTGTATGTATTGATTGCTTGTCTAGTATCTCTATGTTTATTTTCCCTCGTCAGTTGAATTTTGCTCGATGTATGAAGAATAACATGCTCTGTTCATCAGGGCTGTGGTATTTCAATTTTGGTTAAATATTGAGATTCTTTCCTTCCTTATCCTTTTTTGTTTAAAATGTGATATGAACGTTAACAATCTCAACTGATGAAAAGTGAACTGGAATGATCTTAAATTTCTCAATCTTGACTTATAAAAAGAATTTCTGAATCATTCTGTTGCAGAACCTATCGAGGAAGTTGATTAAAGAACGTCCGGGAAATAGCAAGGCCAGGGCTGTATCCTAAATTGGAGAGAAAGAAAGCTTAGTGAAGGATTTGGACATGTCGATGAATTACTGGTTCTTCCTCAAGGAGCATATCCAAGAGTCCATTTTTTCTCCTTTGTGTGTTTGCTATATCTGACATTCACATCATAGAGTTTCCCCGTAAATGCTTCAGTATACTCAGTGTCATGGCATGTTGTTGATATTGAAGACTTCAAGGTAATGGTAACCTGAATCCTCCAGGTGATGTATGAATAGTATATTACTTAGTTTGTAGATGTATGTATAGTTATTACAAGTGTATGATTTTGTTCTAACCATATATACGATCTGGGATAATTTTAAGTTTTGTAAATTGAAAAAGTGATGTATGTCTGAAAATGAAGTTGAGATTATTGTTGTGCTAACTCAACACCTTGCAGTGGTTTGAAGTGTGACAAGCTAATGAGGTATAACTTTGAAGTCAAATAACATGTCATTTTGTTTCCAGTTGTACTGTTTTACGATTAAGGAAACTAGTACCATATCGGGATTATAGTGTGATCTTGCTTACCACGTAAGATTTGATTATATGATGACACTTATGGTCATCAGAAATCTAAAGCAAAGCATATTTTCATGAGCTGATTATGCCACCCCTGCACTTACGTAACGTGATAGATGTATATATTTTCCGATGTCGTTGATTCTTTGTCAACTGGTTATGGGGTAACCTGCACATCTTTTATGTAGTTGCAAGTGCATAAAGTTTTAAACATATTAGCACAATCATTTGATTAGTGTTTGGAGGAAGCTCAGCAGTCTCCTTCAGAGATGGAATGTTTATTATTATTACCATATGAATGGGTTATTTGCAAATTCTTCTCCCTTAGCTGCAACTCTGCTCAAGTTGTCAGAGTTTGTGTTGACTTTCTGAATAACTCGTTGGAGGTAAAAAATAATGCCACGTTGAATTATTTAACCACTAATTAAGTCAAAAATTATATTGTTGTTGTTATAAATCCATTGAACTAAGTGGATTGTCCATTGAGTTTATCCATGAATTACTTGAATTCATGTATTCAGATTTCTAAGGTGATATGATCCATTTTGGTTAACTATGTACCTATTTGTTTGGGCATTTAACATGATGACCTTTGGGGTGATATCTCAACACTATGAATAGAGATATCATTTATCATTCATTTATTTATCCTGGCTTCTTCTCTTTATAGTTATATTGTTATGAGCATAATTTATAACACTTTATCAACACGAATGTTCTACTCTTGAGGAACTAATATCTTGAGGGAAAATTGTTCAAGATAATGGTTATGGAATTCTTCATGATGAACCGTTCATTTTGAAACTTTTGCTTTATAAGCACATAAGATATTTATAAAACCACATAGGATATTCAATCTTTCATTTTAATATAGCTAGAAATGTCGAAAGTGTAGGGATATTTTTGTGGTTGAACTTTTAAGAGGTTCACGTTGTGCTCCATGGGGAAATTTGTTCATCCATTTCACAGACTTGATATTTATAAAGTATGAGCACAATTGTCAATACAAATACTTCTGAAGGTTGTGCTAATTTTTTCCTTCATTGTGATTAATTTCTTTGTCATGATACTTGAATTTTGAAATAATTGTATCTTTAAAGTTTTGATGGCGAGTGTTATGGCACTTTGGTCCTTTATATTATTGGTTGAGGGTAAGATGGTGGATTCAGGTTCCATCGCACCAAAAGGACAAGACATCAGGTTAAAGTCTGGATGCACCATAATGAAAAATGTTTGAGGGTAAAACGGTAGATTCAAGTTCTATCGCACTGAAAGGGTAAGACATCAATTTGAATTTTGATGCACCACGTTGGGTTCATGTCCCACCGATTTATGACCTAAGACGACTTTATATGGATGAGACGTTGGATTAAAGTTCTAATGTACCATACTGATGATTTAATGATGACTATGACAAACTAATTGTATTTTTTATGAGAAGTCATGAATTTCGCCCAATTGGTTTGCTCCATTCTCTTATGTGAATGTGGTAGCAGTACATGATAAGTCTGAAAGGTGTCAATAATTATTGTAGTTGTACAAAAGAATACAGGCATGACAAAAGACAAAATTATAAGTCATCATCGCAAAATGGTCTTTCAAAGGTTAAAAGTAGTTATTGTGATTTGGTATGAAAGGTCATTTGACACTCAATTTTTTTGTGAACCTAATCTAGTAAATTTTATAAATCCTCCATCAAAATAAAAGAATATAAAGTGATGGTTCACTTTACCTTTCAAAGTGATGTTGAGGTAGGTCATATAACTATATCAAATATAAAGGTATGACATGTATAAATGGTTGTGGTCAACTCATGAAGAGATTGTGACTTGTACTAAGTATCGTGAATGTTTGCCCTTTCTCGAAAGTGAATGTGTCAAAATATGAAGAGAAAAAATAAAATAAAATAAAATATATGAATAAGAACATATTGTATGGTTGGAAATATGCCACAACTCACCTCTACGGGAGGTTTGAGAGGAATAAATAAATTTTATATGGTAGGAATGGTCAATGGTCGTGTACGTTTCATAAATATTATGTTATGTTTATTGTGAACTACCAAAAGAGCAAAAGAAAGAAGTAATATTTCTTGCCTATAAAGGTTGTGTCCATGACCAAAATAATATTATTGTGTGACAATACAAATTTGTCATTGATTCTGTACCTATGGTACGACAAAAGTAAAGCAAGAAACATGTCTTGCTTGCTTGTAATAATTTTGACCATGACAATAATAATACAATTTTCTCCTTGAAGGAGATGCTCACCATACAGATGGTGTCATATGTGATAGTACACAAAATTAATTGCAAGCTCTAACGAGTTGTGTTATTATTGGAGAAATAATATTGGGGTTGTAGTAAGTCTTAAAAGAAACTTTTTAAGTTTCAGATGAATTGAAAAAGAAATATTGAAACTATAAATTACGAAAATATTTAATATCTTCAGATTACTACAATCGAAGTGGGCTATAAATATTTATGTAAAAGGTTACCCATTTTTTTCTTCTTGTTTGTTGCACACAAAAATGGGCATGCTGATGAAATCACATGCAAAAGTAAACTATAAGTGTACTGGAAGAAAAATCAGTTGGCATGATCGGTTGGCCATATTGATTAAAATATGATGGAAAAATAATTGAGAATTCACATAGTTATATATTGAAAAAATAAAATATTCTTCAAAAAATTCTCTTGTGTTGCTTATTCTCATGAAAAAATTATATTGTACCAGCTAAGGTTGAGATTGTATTCCTTGAAATTATTTGGAACATATAAAAAAGTGAATATGAGCTCGTTCACCTGCCATGTGGACCGTTTACTATTACGATTTAATAGATGCAATTATAGTATGGTCACTTGCACGTTTGTTATCAACTTTCAATTTGATTTTTGTTAGGTTATTGGCTCGAATTGTTAAATTATGAGCAAAGTTCCAAATTATAAAGGGATAAGGGTCTGAAAAATATCCCAACTTTGGTCGGATTTGCTGTTGCGATACTAAACTTTCATGAGGACCTATTACCTCCCTAAACTATTTAATACCGTATTTTTTACCCCATGTACTATTTAATAGTGTATTTTAAAGGTTTATATGTGCCCACGTGGACACATTACTATTTATAATTTTGCATTATTTTTTATGTCCACGTGGGCAAATATATATGTTTAAAATACGGTATTAAATAGTCTAGGGAGGTAATAGGTCCTCATGAAAGTTTAGTATCGCAACAGCAGATTCGATCAAAGTTGGGGTAATTTTCAGACCCTTATCCCTAATTATAAAGTTATGTTGATAAATGATAATGCTAGTTAGTTTAGCAGAAATTGTATACGTCCAATTATAGCTAAACCATTGGTTATGAGAACAAATCTCTATTTTTTTTTTGGTATGAGATGAATTTATTTAACATGTAACAACACTTGTACGCATCAAGCCAACAAAGGCCTCCTATCAAAATTGGTTCAGGATCAGAAACCAAATAATCTTCATCTAAAATGTTGAATGTGCGATTATGATTTAATTGCTCCACCACGTACAAAGATGATTCCCAAATGAGGCTGAGATGAATGTTAGATTTTCTAACATTAGGGGAGAGATGATTGATAGCTGAAAATTATGCGTGATGTGAATTATGAATTACGAATTATCTAGATCCTCATAAAAATGTAAACTTGAAGTTTAATGGATAATTCATTTGCATAATATTACAAATTTATTGCGAGATGAATTTACTGACCCTATGTTATAATTCAGCTGCAAATGCTCCAATGAGAAGTCCTTGAAGGATATGGATACGCCTGAAGCGTAGTATACCAATCGATTCCAAATGTAAAATTTCTTGAGGAAGGAGATGAGCAAGTAATCAAGATGATCATGATAATGAGGCACGTGCTTTAAAGGAGCACGACAACATAACACTTCATAAAATCTTAACAAAGGTTCAGGTACCTGAAATGATGAAAAATGAAGAGATCTCAACAAGTTACATCATATTGGAATCGATATCAAATAACTGTCGACGATATCTTTGATATGAAGTCTCGCTCAATGATATAGATCGTGACGAGGATCTTGAATTCAAATTTTTCATAGTGTGGACAGATTAATGATTGATCAAATAAAATTCATAATTCAAGTATATTTTGTTTCACTTAGAAAAGTGATGTTTTGGACTGATAGTCCATAAATCAAGGTATGATGTCAGTGGGGCACAAATAAATTATTATGTGATAGTATAACCATAAGACATCAAGTATGACTTGTGCCTTGGGGCATAAAGATTTTTCGCAAAATTCTTGACATTATTGGAGATATTTTTTCCTATGGTGGATGCAATGAAGTTTGTTTTGATCTGGCAACATATGAAAAACTTAAATGCATATAATGAATAATTGTCATGTCTAGCTAGACAATGAAGGTTATATAAAAATACTTGAAGCATTCAAGGTGCCTGAAGCATATAAAAGTTTGAAAGAAACTTTTTCAATAACGTTTCGAGAATTCTTATATGGATTATATTGAAATAATCAAGGAAGAAAGGGTACAAAAAAATGACCCTATTTATCCTTGCAATTTTTTCAGGATCTGAATTTGTTATAATAGTTGTGTATGTTGATGACTTGAACATTATTAGCACTCTTAAAGAGTTTCAAAATTTGTTGAGTGTTTGAAAAGGGAATCTAAAATGAAAAAATCCTGGTAAGATAAAATTTTGTCTTGGCCTATAGATTGAGAATTTCACAAATGTAATATTTGTCCATCAATCAACATACACAGAATTTTTTTTATGCGATTTTATATGGATAAATCACATTCATTGAGTACCCCAATGATTATGAGATCACTTGACATAAATAA